CTAGGCAAAAATTTAGACATTCTGCAATTTCGACATTCCAGTTTCGACATTATGAAATTTCAACATTATGAAATTTCGACGTTCTGAAAAGTCTACAGTATGAAAATTCGACATTACGAAATTTCGACATTATGCTTTTCAACATTAGGATAGTAAATCCCATACACCGATCACGGCTTTTTCACCCCTCGTTTCCGGTCGGAATATTCAAAATCGATGCCGGGGCCAGGCGGGCAATGATCTGCGCGGCCCCAGTCTCGACTGTGAAATCGGCGCATTCGCGCTTTTTATGTGTTTTTTAAAAAGATAAAGTAACCAGCTTAAAACTGATTGAAATTATACTAACTGATTGAACTAAATTAATTATTTCAGTTAAATTAAACTATAATGAATGTATAATGAACGGCATAAAACTAAATATTTAATGCAAAAGTTTTTTACTCACCAAATTTGATTAGGGGTTCGAGTACGCGGGACGTACTTGTATACATCTTCATTCTGTGAGCTCGCTGCATTTTTTCTTATTTTTTTGTCACCCGCGACACGCAACGCGCCTGATATTTTCATTACGTTCGCTTTTCTTTCTTTTCACCACCTTTTCTTACGTATTGAATTACAAACCTTTTCGCGTTTTCCAGAACCGAAAATGCATAGTTCTGCCTTGCCACACCCTTTAAATGGACCATCAAGTCGACAGAATCGACCCCCCGGTTGACTAGACCTAGACAGCCCGGCCGTTACTTTCCAGCTTTTTAGAGGCGAAATGATCGTGTTTAAATTCGTATTTGTCGAGACCTAGGCGCCGGAAGGGGTCGATTTTGGGACCTCTGCGTTATTTTACTCCGCTTCAACTCTAGAGAATCATACGCTAGAAGGGAAGGGGTGTCGACTCAAAATGTCGAGAGTCCATTCTTCGGATACCCAACCACCACCGGTTTTTCATGAAAAAGATGGAGAAGAACAGAGGCCTGTGGTAGGAATTTTTCCTTTGAAGTAGCTCGTTAAAGACCGCCAGAACGATGAAATTCCGTTGAGCAAGAAAGTTGCGCACCGGGCGGGGGTCGAACCCGCGATGGTTCGCTCCACAGTCCGACGTGCTAGCCACTATACCACAGGGCCAAGGGGGAAAGGGAGTCACAGGTGCCCCAAAACCCAGAGGGCCTTTGCCCAATACGGGGCGCCACTAATGACGCCTCTCTCCGCGCGTTCTTGGGGGGCCGCACCCTCGGGGTGACAGTGTGCGTTCCAGAGTTCTAGCGGTCTTTAAACGTCCATTACTGAACTAAATGGCTTGAGTTAAGTCATACTACGTTAAAGAAACATTCAACTCCCAGAGCAAAAGCAAAAAGTCCTGCCACGGCCGGGGTCGAACCCGGGCCTTGTGCGCGGCAAGCGAACACAAAACCAATGAGCAAACTGGCCGATGGTAGGGCGGCAAGACAGGCCCTCTTCCCCCAGGCGCCGGATCCACAGAAAGAAGACCCTGCCTGTTATAACGTGGACCGATTTTAGGAAATTAGGAGGCGCATGTTTCTTTAATCCATGGTTTAAACTTTAAAGTAAGCATCTCTAGATCCCGTACGCCTTCCTGATCCTGTCGTTCATCTGCGTATGTCTATCTTTTGGATGCTCGTTGGTCACATCAATTACATCGACACAAATACACGAATATGGCAATGGATCGTTAGAGGATTGTAAGCCAAAGTCGTTTATTCTTAAAAAAAACCCTTCCATGTAGTTTGTAGTGTTTTAAACATTCAAAATCCCATCAAAAATTGAATCGAGGGCATTCTGAGGGGTTTGGAGCATTACTAAAACTTTTCTTTGCTTTTTATTTTTCACTTTTCATGGCAATTTTTTCAGTCTATTCCGAATGGGATTTCCGCTACGATGCCAGCCAAACGTTTGTCAATTTTACAATCCAAAAACGCAGTTATCTATCAAACCCGCAAAAGGTATATTGTTTTCTAGCACCGATTGATCGCTCAAATGCCTTGTAGGAAATGCTAAAAGGAGTCGACACGATTGGGTTCTTAATTATGGTCGTGCCGTTGATCTGTTTTTACAATAAGTATGGATTTTGGTGAGTCGAAGCGCTTTTTAAAGGGTCTGACAAGCCAGCCTGAAGCCTAAGCCTAAGCCTAAGCCTAAGCCTAAGCCTGAGCCTGAGCCTAAGCCTAGCCTAAGCCTAGGCCATTCCGGTCCCTTTAAACTTTTTTTTAGCCGCGCCTTCCTCCTGGCGGCCATATTCTCGATCGTCCCCTCATTCTTCCTCCCCACTTCCATTAATGTGCAGACATATGTGGTCGCGCTGATGCTCAGGATATTACAAGGTAATTTTTACAATTTTTTACCTATTAAAGGGCGTCGCAAGGCCTGCTTATCGATTTTTTACTATGGGTTCTCCTTGAATTGGACCTTCCACGCCCTTTAATCAAATTTTCAGGTATCGGCTGGATATCTGTGGTGCCATTTATCGGGAAAATCTGCTCGTTTATCGATTTGCAAGAGAATCGCTATACGGCGTGGCTGGCTTTTAGTTATTTGCAGGTTCGAAAGGTTTTTGGATTTCTGTCTCTCCCACTCTTTATCTCTCTCTCTCTCTCGCTCTCTCTGTCGATCTCTCACTTCCTCTCTCGCTCGCTCTCTCACTCGCTCGCTTTATTTCTATCTCTGTCGCTCTCTCCCTCGCTCTCTCATGCTCAGGTCCTCTCTTTATCTCGCTCTCTCTTTTTTCAAGAATTTTAAATGGTAAATCACTTTTTGGGCGACCGGTATAAATTTTTATTACGATCAGACTTTTCCAGGCCTCTGCCCTGATCGTTTTCCCGCTGTCCGGAATCTTGATGAGTAGCGGATTGGGATGGCACGCCGCGCATCATGTTATTGCCGGTAGTTTTTAAAGAAAAAAAAAATTTTAAAGGGCCAGTCAAGGAAGTCCATACCCAAGAAAATCCATAGCCGTCGCCTTACACCTCACCTCAGCCTAAGCTTAAGCCAAGCCGAAGCCCAAGCCTAAGGATACTAATTTTTAGCGGCCCTTTTCGTGTTGTTAATCCTCTTTATGCTGTGCCACTATTCCGAAGATTTCAAATGGGATGTGGTTGAGAAGAGGTGGAAAGAGGTATCGATTTTTAACCCTAAAAACCAGCTGAGTTTAGGTGGTCCGCGGGCATTCAAATGGTTCACATCTCTTCACGATGCGCCTACCCTATTTATCCATTTATCAGGTTTGTCAAAAAATCAGGGAAACGACCGAAATGCCGACATTCAAAAACGCCGACAGCCAAAATACCGACATGGAAACAATTGCGATTTCAAGTTTTTTTTGCTTGAAAATATTTGTTGGCTAGCGGTATTTTTCTGTCGGTATTTGTCCTGTCGGCATTGTGGCTGTCGGCATTTTTCTGGCGGCATTTTGGAGGACTTTTGACGGCATTTCGGCTGCCCTATAAGACATTTCTATCCTTTCAGGACATCCAAATCTGGGTTTGTCTCTTCGCTTCGTCGGCCCATTTTTCGATCATCGCGATAGCGCCTGATATTATACCGACGTTATTGATTAAGGTATCATTTTTAGACTTTTTTTGACGTAGCTATCGAGATCTAGTCGGCAACGGGTCGATTTTCATCCAAATTTAGGTGCTTGGCGTCGCTCCCGCGGGCGCGGGGTTCATATCCACGATTGGGCCCCTGCTCTCCCTTACTGTCGGATACTTTACGATTCGAATATACGACCGGAATAGGTTCTATCATCATTTAATCATTAATTTTTATATTTAGTGTTTCCGAACGTACCCGTCTCCGTCTGTTCCACTGTCTATCCTCCATTCTGCCAGCTATTCTCTTCTTATTAGTCGCTTTTATTGAGCCTACGGAGGTAACTTTAAAGAAACATCCAACCCTCAGCTTTTTATGAAAAAGCAAAAAGCCTTAGACGGCCGGGGGTCGAACCCGGGCCTTGTGCGCGGCAAGCAAGCACAAAACCAATCAGCCAAAAGGCCGATGGGATCGATGCAAGGCAGGCCTCTTTCCCTCAATGCGGACCGGATCCATACGAGCCAGCTCTGTGTTTTTTTCAGAAAGGCCAAGCTATCATCGGAATCCTGACCATAACGGTCGGGTTGTCCGGATTTGCGTACGGAGGAGTGTTTCGTATGGCACAGTTGAGGAGCAAGTTGGTCCTCACTTATTTTTTACGTATTTGTTTATTCAGACAATTCCACGGCTTCATCCTGATCCATCTACTCGTCAGCCAAGTGTTCGCCTTTTTCCTCACTTCCCTATTGACGGCGCTGATCTCGCAGAATAATGAATATAGTGAGTCAAAGCTAAGCTAAACCGACTCGAAGCCAAGCCTTAGCTGAGTGTACGCTAAGCATAAGCTAGGCCGAAGCCTTAGCTTCAACTTAAGCCGCGGCTCGCGGAAAAGTAAGTCAAAGCCTAAGCCTAAGCCGAAGCTGAAGCCTAAGCTTAAGGCTAAGCCTACGTCTAAGCGAAGCCTAAGCCCAGCCAAAGCCTAAGCTTAAGCTTAAGGCTAAGCCAAGTCCAAACGAGCTCAAAGCGTAACCAAGGCTTAGACAAGCCCACTTATCAGCTTAAACGATGCCAAGGCAAAGCCTACGATAAGCTCTAGCCAAGCCTAAGCCAAGCCTATTTTTTTTCAGCTGCCTGGCGAAATCTACTGGTAGGTGAAGCGGCAGTGCTGGCTGTGACGGCTTCGCTTTTCTACCTGGCCGCGTCGAAGTCGCCGGCCAACTGGACTAATGAAGGTCAGTTTTTAGCTTCATGGTTAAAGCATGTTTTAGGCTACGAAGACACGTCGATGCGACCAAAACGAGACGATCCACTCCCCCAATTCCCGCTGTGATCACTGTCGTCTAGTATTTTAAAGGGATCTGCAACTCAAAATTCTACTGATTTTCTTGGAATTTTGCCAAAAGGCTTGTGGATTTCGACTTCCAGGTCCCTTTAAACCAATTATTTTTTGCACATACCTTGGCGAATTGACGGATAAACGAATGAAAGTCAGAAAGTAATATATTTCCCATACATTTGGTCCAACAAGACCAAGCTCAGGACGAAGCCTAAGCCAAGCCTAAGCTAAAATCTAAGCCAAGCCTAAGCCAAATCTAAGCCAAGCCTAACCCTTAGCTAACCGTAAGCCAGCCTCAGCCAAGCCTCCAACCCTAAGCCAACTAAGCTTAAAGGGGCTCGGAAGTCAAAATTCGCGCGTCCGAGGATTGAACCTTCGGGTCAAAAAACGAATGGGTCGCTGCCGAGAAGTGCCAGAAAAGTGATTTTATTGCGAAAAAAACGTAAAATATTTGAGTAAAACCGAAAAGTCCTCGGGGCGAAAACGACTTTTTGAGTGGGCGGCTATTACATGTCGTAATGCCTTGTAAGGCACCCAATCTTTCGATCTCGGCGATTCTTTGATCAAATTTCATAATTTAAAAGACAAGAATGATCAAAATTCATTGAGGATTCCAAAAACCGCATCAGAATTTTGAAATTCAAGCGTTTTCGCGCCCAAACAGGGGCAAAAGATCATGCGGCGCGGTCGCATCTGGCTATTTGCCAAGAATCACAGCGGGGGGCCGTGGACCAGATTTCGGAGCCCCTTTAAGCCTCAGCCTAAACCAAAGCCAAGCCTACCCTGTATTTTCACCCCAAAAAACCCCAG